CGGAGACTCTTCTCTCTTTCTCGATATCTACAGGTACACATCAACCCTGAAAAAAACTTGAGTCTCTTTATGCAGTTGGCTTCCCTGTCATATAGTTCATCATACCATGATCGATGCAGAGACCACTACAGAAGCTCAACCATCACTCACCGGGGCGGATACAGGCGTTGACCTTGAGATGCATCTCAAGGCGAATGCTTTCACTCTTGCGACATTGAAAACAGACACGATCTCTGCATCCAGGTGCACAGAATGCGCGGATTGCAGAAGATCAAACTCCCAGTCATACAACTGGCGGCCGACGCAGGCAGACAAGAAGCCTAGGCCCATTGGGCGTGGTGGTCGCTGGAGATTTTGAGGTAGGCCTGCCAAGCTCAGATTCATCTGATATACTACATCAGCGGAGTAGGGCTACGAGAGCTGGATTCATCAGCTGTCACAGAAACCAGACTGGGGGTTAATGATAACAGTCTAGAGCCAGACACTGAGAATATGGACCATGAGAGTTCTCTAAATAAGAATAAGGAGAAAGATAAGGAGGACCTTTATCTTCCAATTACCTGGTGTGAGAATAACACAGTTACTCAGCCAGATATGCTCTTCTTCACAGGCTTCTGTAAGGTGGTCCTCGCCGTAGAGTGAGCCTCCCAGCCGGAATCCAATATATATTCTTATTATTCTCCCTCCTCCCCCCCCCACCTCGCCGGACTAGTCTAACCAGGCTCGTCCAATCCTACCGTTTAAACCATTGATCCTGGAACCTGATGATAGGCTCGACAACCCTGACATATGAGGTTCTGGGTGATACTCAGGATACCATGGTTGACACCCGGATGCAGCTGTACACTGTCCGCCAGTACAGGTTCTGATTATATCTAGATCTCAAGATATAAGTGTGTTACACAGAGAAGAATAAAACCCCGGCCATCCTACCCGAAAACAAGGCCAATCTATACCTCACTCTGACTGGGTGGTTGGGCTGGACGGCGCGGCAGGTGGTTTATTGAAAAGATAATATCTCTGTTCCAGAGGATTGTGTGGTCATCCCTACCAACTTAAAGGACACAAATAATAAATTTAATTATATGATCAAGCAGGGACAGGTATGGGAGCTCAATCTTGAGATTGACATAGGTGAGCGTCATGCGTGCGTATCGTTAATGCATAAAAGCGGTCCCGGTTCCTGGGCATCATGGTTGAAGTCGAGCAGGCCCTCGGGCGAAAAAAGATAGGACGATCACACTATCCAGGCCGAAATACGCATTCTCTTTGAATCACCGCTCGAAGAGGTCCGAGGATGGATACAGGTGTCAAAGGCAAGGAAAAGTATGTATGGGACCTGAGGCGACGTGGGAACAACCCCAATTCAGGAAATGCTTAGGATCGTGGCGGACGATCCTCGTTTCTGTGAGTCAAGGAAGGGACACCCTAAGAGAGACGCCAGCACAGGGTATCTCAGCAGAGAGATACACTGGCAGGCTCGAACGTACGAGAAATGGAGATTAAAGCAGCGAATGGAGAGTCAATTACTGTCTATCTACCCATGGTCTCAGGTCTAGCATGACCAGCCTGACCAGTGGTCCACATCCACCACATCCACGCAACATAGTCGTCTAAACACGCGAGAATGTCTGAGCACCCTGTCCCAATTTGCCCAACTCATCTCATGGGTTCTCGATGCAATCGCGAAATCAGGACGGGGGCCAAGTAGCGAGAATGTCTGACTGATGATGACGGCAAAGATTGGACCTGAATATAATTATCCATGGTATAACAATTCGCCATCGAGAACACTCTGTTCAGGGTCATTGAGGTGTCTTTTTGAAAGTCTTCGAGAGTCCTGAGAGACACTATCACCAATTAATCTATATTTCCTCAATAACAATATGTTTAGCCCTAAAGGAGATGAAGCCAAATTACCTGAACGGGGGCTGTGAGATTGGTGGTGTAGTCGGGAATCTGATCAGCCGACTCTAAATTCGAGATGCGCGCATCGGCAGGGCAAAATATGATCTGCGTGACCGATAGTTCCAGAAAGAAAGAAGATTAGCATGCTCTTTCATTATGAACAAATTACCCTTTGAACACACTCCCAGCTTCAGGTCTATCATTGCTGAAATTCTTTCATCTACCATTATGGCGTTCGGAATAGCAGGCCGGATTAAAAACCTGGTCTTTGAGATCATCGATATTAGGGGTTACCACCACCACCTACCATCCCAAATCGTGTTATGCTATCCATGCTAGGATGAACAAAGTATCACAGACACACCATGATGGGCCCTATGGTCAGCTACGTAGTTGCTACATACGTGACTGCTGTATTTCTTGGTCTTATGGTCTGGTGGTGGTTATCTAACCGGAATTGGTGGGTACAAATTGATGATATGATACTCGACCTGTGCGCGTTAAGGATTACTGGCTATTACTGCGAGCTTCATTAGTTGATGGACTCAGAGGTCTCTTCCCAGCTACTGTGCTTATAGCGGCGCAAATATCTCCCCTGGAAATTATCACTGCGTCTGAAGAACCTTCAGAAGACAGTCGAAGCAAGCACCTGTAAGTAACAGGGCAAAGTCCAGTTCGTTTGGGTTGACAGCATAAAGCTGTCGGGATTGGCGGAAAGATTTGATGGAATTGAAATGGGAGACGCACTGTGTTTCATCATTCCTTCTATCTGCTTCTAAAAGGACCTACAAGGCATCAAGCTGCTCCGTACAGGATGAGCAATGGGCGCCATGTACAAGGCGATATGTTGCACGAAGGGACTACCACCTCACATTCCCATTATGCTGTGCTCGTGTCGTTCCCCCCCATAGCAGCTGGAGGTGATCACTGGCCCATTGATCCTAAATAAAAAGGACGGATACCAGAAGGACTCATAGTGTGGATTTACTAGAACGAGGTCAGTGGTTCCCGTCATACAGAGATCTGATCGTATCACATACCCAAGGGCTCGACTGTGTGGATACAGCACAATGGTGCTCGTTGATACTCCGTTTATTCCGTTGCGAATATATTTTATGGAGAAAAGATGTTGCTCGTTTCAGCAGAGATTGGTTGATAGATCTCAAGAATTCATTGGTCCTGGAAGTATCCACATACAGAGCAGCACTGGTAGCTGATGGTGCTATGAATGCGGAACTTGCTATAAGTTCTAATACCAGTCACGTCGCCGCATATTATGACCTAAAATTCCGGCAAGCGAATATTATAGCCTCCTACTGCCTGGCAGCGACTGGCAGTAACCAGGATACCAGGAATGCCTCAGAGCTAGTAGCATGGTCGAGAACAAAAAGCAGAACCGTTTGATTCAGTCTACTTAGCGTCAAAATGAACCAGACCACCAACTGCAGAACGCTGGAGATTAGTTTAATGGGGCCCAAGGATAAGAAGGCGCCGGAACACTCCGAAGCTGACGAGGCAGCAGACAGTCAGCCCGAGGATGAGATTGCATGTTTAATCAAAGATGTCAATATGGAATCCTCGAAGATGACTCTTACAGATCTCTCAAGTGCTTTGAAATTCCGGCCACTATGTCTCCCACCAAAGATACCCTCATGGAAGTCACACCTGCTAATATTAATCATTTGCGGGAACAGCAAAAGTGGCTAGATAATGGCCCGGGCCTTAGTGATGGGTGCGATGATTGCTGATGTTGTCATTGTGGAAAAGACATGTATTGCACATAAATACCTTCTCAAAATATCGCAACAGGCTTTCGAATAGACTGTACAGATCTTGAAATATATCTAAACATGTAGTATAGATCCATCTCTAAGTAAACTATAAATGGAAGGCGGTCAACACCGCAACTGACATCACCCGAAGCCGGACTTCCATCCGTCGGATATCGGCTGTCACTCTAGCATTATCAGCTCGACAACTTTCTCGACTCACCTATATCTAACCCAGACATATCAAGTCATTTTTCTCTGGAGTAAGTTACTTCTCTACACACAATCCCTCACTTGTATCATACAGCCGATACCCCCATTCCCAAACCACAAACTAACTTCCGCAGAACACCCCCAACTACCTTCCCCATCCGCAACCGCATCAGCAACACCAACAACCTCATCTCCAACCCAGAGCTTAAAGCCAACAACAACAATGGCCTCTCTCCTCCCCCTTCGCCGGGCACCCACGTCCCTCCTCACCTCCACCTCCAAGCCATCCACCCACCTCACCCGCTCCCTCCTCACCAGCACCGTTATCCCCTCCACCCGGACCTTCACAACCAGATCCTCCACCCTCCTCCCCAACACTATCACCAAAAGGACCACTACCATCAACCCCATCACTCGCCCTCACCACCACCCCCTGATCTCCTCCCCATCCATCCGCCAAAAAAGCACCAAAGACAACGAAGCCCCCACCTTCCGCCAATGGGGCTTTGAAGACGTACGTCCCTACCTACCACCCCAACCCACGCACCCAAAACTAACAAACAAAACGAAATAGATAACCGCCTCCCTCCCCAGCAACACCCCCGACAGCCCGACCCAAAAACCCATCATTCTAATCGACGTGCGCGAGCCCGCCGAGCTCTTCACGGGCATCATCCCCTCGGCCGTGAACGTGCCGCTAGCATCCCAGCCCGACGCGCTGTTCCTGACTCCGGAGGAATTCGAGACGAGGTTTGGGTTCCCCAAGCCTGGTGTGAAGGGGGAGGAAGAGGACGCGGATATCGTGTTCTATTGTAAGGCTGGGGTGAGGGCGCGCGCGGCGGCGCAGTTGGCGGAGCAGGCGGGGTATGAGGCGGGTCGGCTGGGGGTTTATGATGGGAGTTGGTTGGATTGGGCGAAGAGGGGAGGTAGGGTGGAGAGGTGGGAGGGTAATGATAATTAAGTCTTAGTTTTATATCATGTAAGTGGTGGTTGTGTGGGTAAGATGATGGTTTGGTTGTATATACTACTGAGGGTGTGTATCATGTGAGACTACTATAGTTGTGGCGTATGTACTACTTAGTATCAGTACTACTTATGTTCTGGGAAAATGTCGAACAAACATTCAATTCAACTAGAGATCCATGATTATCATTAACAGAAAAACAAAAACCTAGGTATCGACCACGCTTTACTTTTCCAACCACCTCTTCCCTTCTCCCCTCTCTCTTCACACCCCCTCTTTCATGTCATGTACAGGCATCTTGCTTTTGATTGAAAGTCGTAGTCATTTCTCATGCAATGCTCTTTTACTTTTCTTCGTCAAATCCAAAGAATGCACCTATCGTTTCCTTTCATTCTCCTCGCATAAAGCAGCACATGTCTCATCATCACGGCAATGGAACTTGAAACCGCTGTACAATACCACGTTAATGGCATGCTGGAGCCCGTTTCCAAACGCCATAACTCCGCCACGCTGTACTCAAGTGAGTGCCCAGGGTCTGTGATCCATGGGTCATGCGTAGGGCTAGGTTCGGCATCCGGGCTACAGAAGGAACGGGTAAGGCGATCATGGGATGTCAAAGACAGGCTTGAGCTTCTTGACGAGACCCCACTCCTCCATGGAGACGTCGGAGCGGTAGAACTCCTTGAGGGTGTCGATACTGGCACGAGAGATGTGCGAGTACAGGGTGTCCTTGTCTTCGAGCTGACGACCGTACATGGGCTGGTTGCTTCCCTCGATCTTGACGGCCACGGAGGGTTGACCCCTCTTGCAGACCTGGATGGGCTTGTGATCACGCTCAATCGAGACACTGTATGCGTAATTAGTAATTGTAAGGTAGGGAAAACAGGGACAAAAACTTACACTCTACCAAGGTCGATAATTTCCTTAGCGCCAGTCTCAGGGTTAGCCTTGACAGCCGCAATAGGAGTGTGCAGACGCAGACTTCCTTCCGCGACATCAACACCAATGACGATGGGGTCCTTCTTGTTGAAAACAGCCACGGTCTTGAGCACGCAGGGGAAGACAGCAAGCATCTTGCTCTCCTCCTTGCGGCGCTCCGTCAGCTCAGCCATGTGCTTGGTGAAGTCGTCGAACAGGTGGTAGATAATGTCGGCAGTGAAAATCTTGACGCCAACTTCATCAGCATAGGCAGCTGCTTCCTTGTCCACCTTGACATCGAAACACAGCATAACGGCGTACTCCTTAGCCTTCTCCAACATGGTACCGGCCATCATGACATCACGCTTGTACACAGGACCGATAGAAATGTTGGCGACGGGAATCTTGGAGACACGGAGGAACTCGAGCAGAGCTTCCAGAGATCCAAGAGTGGAGGCCTGCACGCTGACACCACGCTGGTCCCTGGAGACCTTGCTGAGCAGGTTCTCCAGATCGGACATGACCTCCTCCTCAATGTCCTCCTCGTCGTCATCCGGTCCGACAACCATCAAACGAGAACCGGCAATGGCCTGTTCAAGGTCGTTCGCGGCAATCTTGACACCAAGGGCAGCCTTGACCTCCTTGTTGTGCACGTACTGCGATTTGAGACGCAATTCCTTGAGAGGAGCCGGCGTCAGCAACGCTCGAATATTCGTTGATATAGGTCCGTTTAGACCACACAACACGATTCGATCACCCTCGCGGAGGATACCGTTCGACAGGACAACGTCAATGGTAGTACCGAGACCCTCGATGACCTTAACTTCAAGAACAGTACACTCAACCTCGGACAGGTACATCAGAGAGTTGGTCATACGCTCCTGGGTCAGAGTGGTCAACAGCTTAAGCATGTCAGGGATACCTTCACCGGTGTGGGCGGAGGTGGGCACGAGAGAGACGTTGCGGGCCATGGACTTGTTCTCGTAGAACAGCTCGGAGTTGAAACCCTGCTCAGCGAACAGGACCTTGGTGCGCTCCAAACGGGTGCGGAACTCGTTCTGAACGCCCTTGTTCTGCAAGGCCAAACTCTCCTGGAAGCCGTTGTTGTCGATCTTCTTCCAGCCGTACAGACGATCGATCTTGTTCAGAGCGACGATGAAAGGAGTACGGCGATCACGGAGCAACCTCATGGACTCAAGAGTTTGGGGCTCAAGACCGTGCATGATATCGACAACCAGGATGGCAATGTTACAAAGGGAGGAACCTCTCGAACGCAAGTTGGAGAAGGACTCGTGACCAGGGGTATCAATGATGAGCAGACCAGGAATCTTGAAGTCAAACTGGCCATCCTTGTTCACAACAGCAGTCTTCTGACGCAGAGCATCGACAGGGAAGTAAGTAGCACCAATCTGCTGTGTGATACCACCAGCTTCACCTTCCTGGACGTTTGTCTGACGAATCTTATCCAGCAACTTGGTCTTACCGGTATCGACGTGACCCAGAATACAGCAAATAGGAGAACGGAGGTTGTCCTTGGAGCGCGCAGCCATAGCCTCTTCATGCTGCTTCTTTCTCCGCTCGGCGGCCTCGGCCTTGCGCTGAGCAATAGCCTTCTGTGCCGCGGACTGCTCCTCGTCCTCAGAGTCCTCGTCAGAGGACTCATCGGAATCATCCTCACTCTCCTCTTCCTCAGCCTGCTTGCCGGCAGGCTTCCCGTCAGCCTTGCCATTGGCGGCGGGCTTCTCCTCTTCCTCGTCGCTAGGAGCATCCCAGCTGTCCTTCACTTCCTCGGCATCGGCAGCCTTCTCCCAGTCATCGAGTTCGCTCTCCTCTCCGCCAGCGGCAGCGGCGGCAGCAGCAGCCTCAGCCTCAGCCTTGGCCTTCTTTTCTTCCTCCTCCTTTCTTCTGCGCTCCTCTTCAGCTTCACGCTGGGCCTTGGCGCGGGCAGCAGCAGCTTCCAGGTCATCCTCCTGCTTCTTGGGTCCACGCTTCTTCCGGTTCTCGTAAACAGGGCGCTTCTTCTCGGCCTGGCCCTCTTCCAGACCAGCAACCTTACCGATACCAGCCGCAAGCATCTGCTGCATGCGCCGCTCATTGCGTTCCTTGGCTTCTCTCTGAGCCTTGGTGAGAAGCTTACCCTCCTTGCGAAGCTGCTCCTTCTTCTCCTTCTCCTTCTCCTTCTTCTTTTGGCGGGCCTCTTCCCGCTTCTTCTCCTCTTCCTCTTCAAGACGGAGTCTCTCCTCCTCAGCGGCTTGCGCCTCGGCTAACAGGCGCTCCTCCTCTTCACGCTGCTTGCGGAGAGCCTCCTGTTGCTTCTGGATAGCCAGCAGGTGTGCAGGAATCTTCTTCTTCTTGCCGCCGGTTTCCGGAACGGGGGCAGCAGCGGGGGCGGGGGCAGCCTCTTCCTTCTTCGCAGGCTCGGCCTTAGCGGGCTGAGCCTTCTCAGCGGGGGCGGTGGTCTTCTTCTTGGCAGCCTAGAAAACGAGATAGACCTATTAGTTCGACACAATCACAGAATGATGAAAGGACCGCAAAAGCGCAAGAAACATACCTGCTCCCTCTTACGCTGCTTCTCACGCTCCTTCTTCTCACGCTCCTTCTCCTTCTTAGACTTCACACGGAAGCCACCCTCCTCCTCCTCAGCGGGCTTGGGCTCAGGCGCAGCAGCAGCCTTCTTAGGCTTAGCCTTTCCGGCGAACACATCGTCGTCATCGAAGGTACCCTCCTCAGGCTGCTTGCTAGCGAAATCGGCATCGCCGTTGGCCTCCTGAGTGGCATCCTCACCCTCAACAAAGTCGTTGGCCGGCTTTCCCTTCTTCGCCTTCTTGTTCTTGTTCTTCCTCAAAGCGGCGAGCAAACCACCACCGCCCATGCCAGCATCCTCGTCGGCAGCACCTTCTTCAGCAGCGGGAGCTTCGGCCTCGCCACCGGGAGCAGGGACGGACTCGCCGAGCTCAGCTTCCCAGTCCTCCTCTTGCCTCTTGTTTCCCTTCTTCTTGGGCGCCATATTGATAGGTGGAGGATTCGGTCGACCTCGCTTTTATTCCTTTAGATGAATATGTAGATGGAATTACCCTATATAGAAAGTGTTGAACCGTTAGTCAAGTGAATATAAGACGGTATTATGTGACCGAGCGACGTCGGCAGGCAATGAGGATGAATGGAGGTTGATGGTGGTGGTGCGCACTAACAATGAGGTATCAGCTTTCTCCGGCCCGCGCGATCTGCGGAAGGCAAAGAGTGGCGAAAGATAAGCCCGAAAAGAAAAAAATCCTTCCAAAGGGATCGTGAAGAATGGAAAGAAAAAGAAAGAGCGAAAAACAAGCAACCGTTTTCCCCCCTGGTGGTCGATAAAGATCCAAAAGTTGGAGACTCGATGAGGCGGGAAGGACGAGTTGCCTTTGGGGTAATAAGAATTTTGGGCCGGGCGTTTGGTGGGGACAATCGCCGGATTATTATGCGAGAGGCCGCCGGTGGCCCGCACTCTTATTGTTCATGACTGGCACACAATAATCACCTTCGTACTATTAAGCTGCTGGCTGCATTCAATTTGCGTCAAAAATTAAAGCATCTATGTACACAGTACAATTCTATATATAGCATGCTGCCAAAATCTGTCCTTCACAACCAAAATTGTAGATAATCCCTAGACATCCACCGGGAGAATCCGCTGCAGCCATCTCATAACGCTCGCAACAGCATCGCTTGTTTCTCCCAGTACGTGTTTTGACAATTCCGCAAATTGCTCGGGGACTCCCTGCTCTGAGCGGATTCCTGCAGCTGCCGGACCACCGAGCGTCTCCTTACTTAGCATCTGCATTAGATAGCCAGACCCACGTATGAGCAAGCGGCTGAGAATGTCACCGTCAATATGCATTTGAGATGGCTGAGGGTCCATCAGCCCGACTGGATTGCGCTGTCTTCTCCTCTTGGGAATGAATGGGCAAATCATAGGATCACGGATGCATAAGTCCTGCAGCAAGCGTAGAAGGCGCCACTCCTTCTCACCAATAGTCAAGAAACGATAAACTGTGCCATTCATCGCAGTACCATAGAATACCTGAGAGGTAGTGGAAAGGGGTGACTTATCAGAGCCAGAACTGAGCCTCATCACCGACGAGGGGAGGTGTGCTTCACACAGAGCTGTGGGTAGCATCTTGTTGGTCTCCGTCACACCATTCTCTGTCAAAAGGCTCACCCGCCCACCTCTGCTGGAGCATAGAATGAGGTTCAGCTTTCCACCAATATAAACATGAGCGAGACCATCATGCTTTTGACGATCATAAGCATGGAGCGTTAGTTTGTCTTCTGTGGCCTTGAGCACCATAAGTGACTCCCTCGACGTGGTCATGTAGAGGTACGGCTCCCTGGCGGTAATGAGGACCGCCGGAGACAGGACGGAGTATCTAGCCGCTCGGACCCATCGAGTCTGCGAGAATTTTGGCTCCAGTGGCACGATTTCATGACCCGTCGATACCATTAAGGTGAACGCACCGTATGGTGCAATTGCGAAAACCGGACCCTCAAACTTGTGAATATATTTGACAGAGCATTCAATCCGCGACGGTTTCAATGGATCGCGGTATGCTTGTAAGAATATGACTCGGCCACGCTCTTGCTGATTTTTGCGAGAAGTGCCTATGACAATGAAGTGATATTCTTCATCACCTTTCCTGGGCGTCCACTCCAGTATGCAGCTGATCTTCTCTCCTGCTGCACCTTGAGGTCGCCACGGCCGGGGATCGTCATCCAAAGGATTTTCGAGGGAATCGATAAGCGAGTGTTGCATGTCAGGGTCGACAAACTCGATGAAGGGCCGCGTGTAGCGCTTGATGGGGTCTGCGTCTGTGTCGTATTCTGTCTGGGAATAAACCACTATTAAGCTTTTGAGATATCGTGAATAAGCTAGTCTGCTAGCGCTACCGGGCAAGTCGATCCTCCTTGGAACAGTCTTCGTCCCTTGCTCCAAGGTACATATCATGAGCTGTCCGTCGGCGACGCAGAAAAGCGTGTTGGAAAGTCCATCCATGTCTTGACTCCCAGAACTCGAAATAGAAAAGCTATGTATGCTTTTTGGGTGGTATGCAGGCTAAAGGGTGTTAGTATTGATGGTTGAATTGACGAGCTCATGATACTCACATTATTCTGGTCGGTGACCCATATCCTCTGAAGAGAGTAATCGGCTAGTCCGCTGTTGCAAGATGCTTGCCAGAACCCTTGTCCACAGGTCAATAATGCAAACTCCCCCTTTCCCTGCACTTTCACCGATGTATGGCCTAGCTGTTGCGGCGTTACCTGGGTTAATGCTGCATATCAATGTGATCAGCATAGGGAGCACGAATGTGTGTGACAGATCAGTCCTCACCAATGGGGGCGTCAGGGTTCTCCCTGTCAAGCAATAGCCCGAATGGAACCAGGATACCGCTTCGCAAACCGCATAGAATAGTGCACATTCTCGGTGAAACCTTATCGGCCTTCCTAATGACAGCAATACTATCAATGGCTCTCGATATGTCGTTCTCAATCCCGACGTTGACAGTGGCTTCCAGTAAGAAAGAGATGCTTTCGGAGATGCGATACACCAAGACCCTTCCGTTGCTCGTGCCTAGAAACAGAAATAGGGACGAGTCAAGATTCTCCACGGTCATACAAACCGGCTCATGTTGCATTAACGAGGGTGGAGCTAGATCAAGCAACTGATGCTGGCCATCTGACGTGAGTTTCTTCACGTGAAGGTGTGCTTCATCTTGTGTCCTAACAACGGCAGCGATGAGTGAGGCCGGCCCATCAACCGCAGCCACCGCAATAGTTTGGCCAGGATCGACCTCAAAGCGATAGCCCGGCATCTCTGGGGTTGTGCCAACGCAAATTGTCTTGTCTGTCACTTGTAAGATAGCTCCCAATACAGTGCATCCTGCTGCCAAGGTCTGTGTGCTAGAGTCAAGCCCGGACTCTGCCTCATCAATAGCACAAAGTTCTTCCCCAAAATCGGCAGGCAAGTACAATAAAAGTGAGGACATAGGGTCAGATGTTAGGACAAAAACACCTCCGGTCGTGCCGTCTGGCATGGTCCATATATCTCTGGTTCCAGACAACTCCTCCAGCGCAACAATGAGCCCGATTTGTGCTTCAACTCCGTGCCGCAGCTCAACTACTGCACCTCGTGAGAACGAAGAAGCAGAGCAAACAAAAAGGCGATCGGTTGCAATATCCGAGGGCACCGTGTCCTCACTTTTCACAACAACGGAGTCGGTGACAGGGGTCCAGTTCATAAACTTCTGGACACACCGCGGGTGGTCACGAGCTTTCTGGACAAAAAGCCCGCCATCACCTGTGGTGCCCGCTGCAAGGAGTAGGTCACCACCTTCGTAGCCAATATCCAGAATATCAAATGCTGCATCAACGTCACAGCACAGCTGGCCTAAATGTGCCTGATTCTCGAGCTCGCCGTCAGTGCCAATTCCCAAGTACGTTATTTCACCGTCTTCGCGACAGAGGTAAATGTCATCATGTTTCTGATTGTATAGCCAATTGCGCAACGGCCTCGCCCATCTGGTCCAGAGAGGGGACTTTTGGGATTCTTTCTCATAGACAGGGAGCGGGTATCTGCTGGGGAGTCTCTGAGGGTCAAGCTTATTTTGGTATACCGTTATCGATGTCGTCGTGACGAGCATGAATGAAGAAGTCTTAGTCAAGGGAATCAACATAGTAGGAAGCCTATCCTCCAGCGGCAATACTTTTTTGGTCACCCGTGGGGTAGCCTGGCGTAAAGACTCGTTCGCGTCCCATTCGTAACAAACAGCTTGTGTCAACTGATCTTGAGCAATCAACAGTAGTAAAGTGATCTTGTCCCCGTCTTCAGATTTGGGATACAGAAATTCCATGGCAATTATATCGCCGTCAACGCGGAAGAAGCGCTCCTACATAAGTGACACACAAGTTAGTCGCATTTCAGTATCTAGAAGTAACCAGAACATACCTCTGCTATAGGGTCAAGTCTGTTTTGGGTCATCTGTGCTTGAATTACCGGCGGCCGCTTCAAGACGAAGATCCCAAAATAGTCACTTGAAGCACTAACTGCTACCGCACGAGACCTGCAACAATTCTCAGCCTATGATCATCATGGAAAGGTTTCTTAAGAGGCATACCTTGGCTCCACGGCAATATTCCGGCCGAATCGTTCAAAAGCACTGACATCGTTCGGCAGCGGCCGACGATGGTAGACAAATTGGCCACTCGCGTTCGAAAAGTACAAGAATACTAGCTCTTTCGAAGCAAGGCTAAGAACCAAAATTTGTGGAGGAAGATCCTGGCGCAAGTCTGAGCTCGCGCGCAGTGTCGAATTGCTCGCTGCGAGCTTCATCTCCTCTTCCCAAGGCAATTCGGTGCTGACATTAATGACTTTTGCTGCCATGATACACGAGTCAAAGTCATTTTTGGTAGTGACCTCCTCCAGATGAACCCCAGATACTGCTTCTTTGATTTGCAAATGTCGCTCACCCACGAAGACGACATCGTTTTGGTCTTTGCTTCTGAGATGCGCAGGGAGAATCCATTGAATGATAGGACTTGATACTAGAGTATGCGACAATAGTCCAACTTTTGTCTGGGATGCAGAATGTATGCTTTCTGTCTCGATTTCCATCGAATCCCCACCTCCACCTGCAACGGTCGCTGAATTGTTTGCGGCTAATCCTGCACCGCTTCCTGATGTAGCCATGATAGCTTCTCTGATTGACCGTGGAGAAAGAGGGCCCTAAAATCAAAGAAAGTGGTTCCCTTGCCAAACGAAAGGATGGCCAGAGGACACAAAATGAGTAGAAAGAGAGACGCGGAAAGAAAAAAGGAAAACGAAACGAAAGAGTAGAATAGCTGACCAACGGTGTCCGCAGCTGCTTTTCGACGGATACCGAGTCCTACTTCCGTGGAGCTGAAAAATTAGAGAAGAATGGGAGGGAAGGTCTCTCAAAGCTATAGCTCATGAATTCTCATGCTTGATGTAATATGAGAAAGCAATTTCATGTCAGGAAATTGCTGAGACACGAGAGGCGAAGTGAACACAGAGCGCAGTGCTACCATGCGAGAACAGATCAAAGAGAAATACCCTCGGTAGATTTAGCCACCGCTATGCAAAACAGAAACCTAGTTGGAGCATTAGCAAATTATAATTTGTGGAAGACTTGTCACAGGCAAATGATTTGGGACATACACTCCAGTGATTTCTTATGAAAACGCTTGCGGTGGTGCTAGCGATAAGTACTGAGATGGTTTCTCAAATTACCCAAACACCATATGGTTGTCCAGAAGCTTGTGTCTGACGACAAAACGCGTTCATGGGACATAGACAGCGGGGAAGTAGTATGTCGAATTAAACACGATGGCCAGCAGTGGAACCCAAGCGGTTCGCGGGAAGGTCAATTGAATATGTTTGGTTTTAGTATGATGCCATCGGCCCACTATAAATTTGCAGCATTGTCTGCAGCTATCTTTGTGAGCCAGCAGAATTAATTTCGAATAAGACAGTTTTAGTTGCCTGCGAATTAATCAACAGTGACCCGGGGACTCGTGAGGACCTCAGCCAGCCATGTAGGAAGTCTGGAGGGGCAGTGGATCGACCATCAAAGCCTCGCCTGCTCGTTCGGGCGGTCGGCGATACAGATCCAACCAAGCAAATCACAGATCACGGGACACAGACCCGATGTGTGGCCTGAGGCGGCCACGCGTCCGTTTTGGGTTTGGCCATGGCCGCAATCACCTCCGGCTTTGCATATCGCCTATGCTATCCCATAGATATATGGTTGCCTACATTGCGGACCTGTCGGTGAATCTGGAGAAGCCAGGGTTGGACTGGATCCCACATCTGGATTTTGAGATCCCCAAACGCAAGCTCTGATCTGGCGAGAGGCCCGTTCATCCGTTGCATCCAAGTATAGACCACTCATTGTTAACGCTATACATCGGGGTACAAATAAAATTTATATCGTCGAATTGTTTCATTTGGAGACCAAAATTGGGAATACGCAGGTTTACACAAACAATTTCTTTGGAGTATACTGCGCGCCTCAACGATGGACCAGCCATCTGAGAATAACGAACCAGAGCACATCACGGAGACAAATCTGGAAACAGAGCAGAAGACCGCCGCCGAGGCAGAGGCCCTAGAGTCAGAGAAACTCAAGAATGCGGAGCTCGAAAATCTCAGAGCCGAAAAAGAAACGGCAATCCGCCAAGCATGCGACTTGCGTGATATTGATGCATTAGTCTCATACGCTATCTCAGAAGGTGGCTTCCTCAATGATGATGTCCGGCGAACAGCCTGTGAGCGCTACCTAATACCAGTTATATACATTATCTGACGCCCGATAAGGGCCTATTCTTCTACAGTGTGATCGACGAGGACCCAATTTCGATTTCACGGGATGGGAACATCTACCTGCACATATTGACGAAGAACAAGTTCAGCTTGATGTGAACAGGTCATTTGTCTACTACCCTGAATGTAAGTCATTCATTTAGTTGTTTTGGCGATTGGTGATGTCTAACTTGACTAGGCTCTGACCAGGAGCTCTCTATCAAGAAGGATGAGCTCTCCAAATTGATCAAGCAAGTCCTGCGGTGCTTTCCCATGCTCTGCTACTTTCAGGGCTATCATGATATCGTTCAAGTCCTACTATTAGTGCTCGGTGGACAAAATAGCGCTGCTGCCGTGGCACAAATATCTCTTCTTCGGATAAGAGATTACATGTTGCCGTCCCTTTCGCCAGCGCTGAAACATCTAGAGCTGATTCCTGCGATCATTGAAAAGGCTGACCCTGCATTACGGCGTCACCTCGCCGAAATCAAACCATTCTTTGCACTCGCCGCAACTTTGACGATGTACTCTCACGAAATCCAAGAATATAGCGACATTGCACGCCTTTTCGATTTCCTGCTGGCCCAGGAACCAGTAGTCTCCATATACCTCTTTGCGGCAATTATTCTCTCCCGCAAGAAAGAATTGCTTGAATTCTCAGTCGATGAAACCGATATGCTGCATTTTACCCTGTCCAAGCTCCCAAACCCCTTGGATCTTGAGGGTTTGATATCCCTCGCGATGCAGCTTTTCGAAGCTCACCCGCCGGAAAGTCTACCATTTGGAGCCTGGAAGCGCATTCCAAAGTGCAGTGTGCTGAAATCTTCAAGGGATCTCGTCAGGATCCAAGGGCCCGATGAAACAGTCGACCTCTTCGCGAAACAAGTACGGCATCTACGTTGGGAGGAGCGGAAGGAGAAGACCGTTGCTTTCCTGTGGAATCACAGACGGACAATCGGCTCTGTGGCTGTGACAATGTTCATTGGTGCTATGTCGTTCTGGATCAAGAAGAGGGGATTTGACAATACGATATGGGCGTATGTCAGTAGGTTCCATGGGGCTCTGCAGGCCCGGGGCTATCTTTAATTCTTATGTGACCCTTGGGAAAGACAAGAAGGCACCGGTTCAAAAATTAAAGGCTTGGGCTTTTGTGTATAAAATATTGAAGACAGGTTAAAAACATGCTAATAAGGAGAAAGTTAAGTTTTACGAGACAAAGAACAGCCTTAGCACACAGAATAGACAGTAGAGGCGGACGCACAAAATGCGAAACACAGCCCGCGTCAGCCCGTGTTGAATAGATGGACAGTCTCCACATAGTGGCTAGTGCGTGGCTTTCCCGGCAGCCGCTGAGGTGTACTCTTGCATTCCCGCATCTCCCAGGAACCGAGAGCTCAACAACCACCCTTTAAACCGACCGTGAGCTGCCCCAGATGGCGAACCAGGGCTATGATGTGGTAGTGGACGTTGACGCCGAGGTAAGACTTCCATAACAGTTCGCATCTCTGATCGCAGTATACTAACATCAATTTCCAGGGCGATCTCGGCCATACCGACCTCCAAGAAGACCTCGAATTCCACCGTTCCAGTAAGCTAGCTGGCCTTGAGCACAACCACCACCTCATCCCAACGCACACCTACTTACCTCCCCTTCTCAGACTTCGAAAACGACCAACGCAACGCCAAAGCCCAACAAGACTCTGCCCCCTTCCTCGGCGGCGGTTCATCGCGCGGCCGTGACCGATCCCCCGGCGGCACCCCCTCCAAGCTCAACTGGTGGTCAATCCACTACTACTCGCAATTCTTCGATGTAGACACGAACGAAGTCCTCCGCCGCTGCGTCGCGGCCATCTACCCGCGCAGCAACTTCCTCGACGTCCTGGAAGGAAACCCGGACCTCTACGGACCCTTCTGGATCGCAACCACCGTCGTCGTCATCCTCTTCCTAACCGGTACCATCTCGCAATGGCTCTCCAACAATGACGACGAGCACTTCGAATACGATTTCACTTTGCTATCCGGCGCCGCAGGCTTGGTTTACGGATACACGGGCATCATCCCCATTGCGCTGTGGGGTGCGTTGAAGTGGTTCGGCAGCTCCAGCGCGGACTTGGTTGAGTCGTGGGCGCTCTATGGATACTCGAACCTGATTTGGATTGCGGTCGCACTGGTTAGCTGGAGTCCTTTGACGGCGCTGAACTGGGCTCTGGTGGGTGTTGGCTTCGGGTGGACGGTCTTCTTCCTCCTGCGCAATCTGTACCCGGTTCTTAGTGCTACGGATGCGAAGGCTAGCAAGATCTTGCTGATTCTGGTCATTGTCCTGCATGCTGGGTTTGCGTTGGCGATTAAGATCTTGTTCTTTGCGTAAGTGGTTCCCTGGCCCCTACTCTGGTGTGCTATTCTACTGTGAGGGATTGTGACTAATATTGGCTTATGTGCAGACATGGAAGTCCCGTTTCGAAGAACAAGGACCACGATGACGACGATGACCACGACGACAAGCGACGGATGTTTGGTGGCTGGTAGAAAAGGTGCTAGATGTCGGTGTTGGTATCAGTGTGGTTCCCTTCGGTTGTTATACTGTTCAGTTGCTGTCTTTCTCCCACAGGGGACCATGACATTTGCTCCGGCAGCATTATGTCATGTCATATCATGTGTCGACTTGCTGGTTTATGTTCTCAAGTGTTGTTATTTCTGATATCGTTCCCGCTGTTTTGTCTGTTGAACGTTTCCCTTTCCACCAAGCCGTGCTGCATGTGTGTATGTGTATCTACTAAGAATGCGACGAGAGCTTTTTTTGAATTTTACAGGTTGTGCTTTGATTGCAACTTCTTCCCGAGGAGTCAACTATAGACATTTGACTTCGGCTATAAGTAATGATTCATCATTCCAACGCCATGTAGAAAATCTCCCACGTTGCAATCGTATCGTAACCCCAGCAGCACTTTTCCCCAGCAACGCAGAAAAACCGTAATAAGATAATCGTCTATTTGAGCTTCTTCTTGGGGCGGAGCTGGTTGGTGTGACCACACTTCTTCTTGCGGCAGTTGGTGGCACGGGGGGGAAGGCGGGCCTAATCGGGTTATTAATGTTAGTGGGGGGATTTTTCGCTAGCCGGGACTCAAGAGAGGGGCGGGATCGAGACGAGGGGTAAGGAAGTAGTATGGATGAATGAATGGATGGACGTACGTAGCACTTGCGGCAGATGGACTTCTCGCAGTTGTACTTGGAGGCAAGAGCCTTAAGGGAGGGCTCGATGATACCACCACGCAGACGGAGGACCAGGTGAAGGGTGGACTCCTATAGTCGAGAAGATAACCCGTCAGTCAAACTATATCCCAGTGGATTGATGTCGCGTCGGATGCCGATAGTCGTGAAACGTCCATGAATGCGACCGTGCCGATGGAACTATTCCCCCCCTCCTCAAAACCTAGTTGCGTGTTGTGGCGCCCCAACCGACCCGAATCGCATCATGTTCGTAACCGACTATCCGAGCAGACGATATCGACGTATAAGATATTTCGCGGAACCGGTTCATTTCATACCTTCTGGATGTTGTAGTCGCTCAGGGTGCGGCCATCCTCAAGCTGCTTACCAGCGAAGATAAGACGCTGCTGATCCGGGGGGATACCCTCCTTGTCCTGGATCTTGGTCTTGACGTTGTCGATGGTGTCGCTCGACTCGACGTCGAGGGTAATGGTCTTACCCGTGAGGGTCTTGACGAAACTATTGATCGGGAAGAAGCCTGGGTCAGTTTCCTTGTTTCATTTCTCGATGATATATTCGTGCCATCTTTCGGATTTCGGGCTGGGATTCGACGGGTGGTTGCCAGGGAATTTTGGAATGACCTACATCTGCACTGCAGAGACGCGGAAAAAACGACATATTAGCTTGCGACTTCAGAGAACACGCATTTCGCATTCACGAACGAAAAGGGTATACGTACTGGCTGCGGTTTTCGTTGTTGCTGGCTGACGATCGGCTGACAAGGTCGGTCGGATGAGGCGATGTCAATTTCACGATTTCTCGCTTAGCAAAGGTGGAACGGACCGCACGTGATCAGGGTTTAGGGCAGTCCGGCCGCGTTCGGGGCCTCTCCGCAGTCTCCATAATTAGTCCGTAGACTACTACTACTTTTACATCATCCATTTAGCATCATCCATACGTTGGAGGCTTCCCGTGGTCCGTGGTCCGCGGTCCGCGTTTGGTTGTGCTTTTATGATGCTCGACCCGACATTAGTGTTCAATGATGCAAATCAGCCTTCCTTCAATTAATTTTAATTTGCAGGGAAAATACAACCTCAAGGACTAACAGTATAGGAAGTTTCTATTTTTGATACTTATATACTACTTCAAAGACGGGACTCAATTGGCTCAGTTTCCTAGTATATACGATCGCCAAGCTCAACTTAAGTCACCATCCTCCAGCTCAGACATGCTCTCTTCATCATTGTCTGGATCCGCACTGGAGTCCCGAGTGAATTCCATGCCCATCGATCCAAAGTATTCAACCCGCCGCTGCTCTTCAAGCCACCGGTTGATTTTATTTTCTGCTTGTGATACAGCCCTAATCAATGTAGATAGGGAAACACCGGCTACCTTGGCAGCTGTCTCGTAGAATGACCTCGCAGTATCCGGAAGATCAGATTCGGTTCGATACCGCGTGTAGGAGCATCCCGGCCGTGGAGTGTCCAGGTCATTATCTGCAATGACCTGTCTTGCTCTTAATTGGCCGGTGGACGCCTTGTTCAATTCATCAAGAGCTTCCTCATCTGTTATGTCTGGAGTAGGAGCTGTGGTCTGGCTTTCTCCAGCACTTGGACCAGTCGGAAAGAGATCTGCGAGGGGATTTGATACTGGAACATTGTTCAGCACCGAGAAGGGGAAAATGTGGCATAATTCATACCTTTACTTGGATCGAGCCAGCTATTCTCGTACCAGTTCATATACTCGTCGAGCTGGGATGGCGTCATGCCGAAGACGTCTCTCTCAGTCACCAATATCTCCTTTCCCTTGCCAAGCTGACCCGCAGGCGTCTCTCGATTGTCATAATGCCTCTGTATTTGTGACCAAAGATTCCAGTCGATCACTTGCACTGTGGGCTCTTCAACAGTCGTGGGATATCTTTCAACATCGTCAAACGGGAACAGAAGTTTGGTAGTGATGACAACCAGAGCGACTAGTTGCAGCTCGGGCAGTTGGAGTGGCCTTCTCCTTCCAGATATGCTTGTAGGGTATTCAAAGTCGAACCCTAGAAGATGCTGCAACTTCTTTGCGGCCGGGTGAATGTCCACTGCAAGTAGGTTAACGAATAGGAATGATTGAAGACGGGGGCGTCGCATACGAGGAAGCGCAAGTCTCTTGACATATTTATATAACAAGACCGGCCAGTTCAAAGATGGAAATTGCATGCTGAATTTGTTATGATAAAGCAGCAGAAGGTCTGAGACAGCCCCATGAAGGTGCTCGGCTTGGAGTAGCCTCTATCATATAGTCAGACACGACCATCAATTCCTCCTGACATATCATAGGCACTCACCGTGGTCTCAAGTATCGAAATGAACTCTTGTGGCAGTTTATCCCTCATCTCTCGAGGGATAACCTTCACAATCCTGATAAAAGGAACATCACCACGCATTACCATTCTAAACATTCACTTAGCCCTTGCAAGATCCACAGTGGTTTATAATTGACTACTCACTGATAGAAATCCCCAACACCCACTGGAAGCCTCATTAACAGGGCGCCTAGATAGCACAAAGCAATGCTATCAATAAGGCGAGGCCATGTAGCCTGCCTTCCTCTGAACCTGGTGTCGTCGGATCCATCAAGCCCCGAGGTTACCTGCGAGCTGAAGAACTCAGGCTCCTCATCCTGTTCTGAAGGATCATTAATCTTTTCGGCGTACGTCTCCAATCGGAGCGCCCAAAGATCGCGAACGACAGACTATGCGTGCATCAGTAAACCGTTCATTAGTGGTTTCCCCAAGGGGGCTGTGTCATGCATACCTCCAACTCGGACGGAAAGCCGCGGTGATGGACCAGCGCGTGACATTGCTTCCAGAGGATCAATTGGTAGACTTGCAGAAATAGACTATAAGCCTGGCGTCCCCGGTATGCTGCCCGATATTAGCCGATGTGGAGAGCGCGTCACCCCCAAGCCATGATGGTAGTATGATGGTGGTGGTTGTAGTTATGGTAGGTTGGAGGCTCTCTTACTCTTTTGAGACTTCTCCGCTGCAGCCTTCTTTACGCGACTTGTCCGGCCTTGAGTGTTAAAGTCTTCGGGATCCTCTTCGACTTGACGTCCCTACGCGACAAATGGAGAATGAGTGGGCTGATCGGTCGCGTGCGTAGAATGAGTGAGGGGCGGGAGAGAGGGGGAAGATCAGACCTCTTGTTGATGACCCCGCCTGCAGAACCAGAGGCCATTATCCAGATAATACCGTCGTTCACGGCACCCTTCCTGCCCGCAAACCCCTCGGGTGATGTACTCCATCCAGGGCAGCGCTCTTCATTCTTCCTTGTCCAAAGGTTGTGGAGGAACAGAAGGCCTGGGTCTTCCGGAGCGGGTCAGCGCAGCTACCAGAGATTTGTTACCAGTCAGATTTTTCTACCGTTGATGCAGGACCCCGAAAAAGTAATATCCGCATGCGCCTTATCGCCCACTGCGTAGCCTTTAATTCTTGCGATAAGGTTGGTACTTCATTGTTCCTGTAGGTTTTATGCACGCGTGTCTCAGAATATTGGATCTACACTGGTACGCTGCTTATCGTGTCTACGAATGACATTGGGACATGACATGTTGGGAGAAAGGTAGTTAATTTTTTATTCGTCAAACTATCGTGAAAGTGCTGAACTCAAGAACTGTTTCTCTGACAAGGCAGGATTTATGCTGCCAAATTAACGTGACCATCATGGCCAGCTCAGCGTATACCCAAGGCTAAACAGACGGATATAAGAGTACGTGGCGCCGCAGCTGCCCAAAAGGCCGTATCATCCACCTGACCAAGGGCAAAGCCGAGCGAGGCTCTTAAAATACACCATGGATGACAGAGCAGTTAACGGTCCATAGACACAATAATTTAGTTGCCCTTGGGAGCCTCCTTGACATCCATGCAGACCTGCTCGCCCATGGAGGACAGGATGGTGACGTCTGGAAAGGAGATTCGTCAGTAATCATGCCAACAGCCACTTATCCAAGATAAACGGGTGTTACTCACTGCAGTCCTTCTCCTCATCGTGGAACATGCGGCGGATACGGTCGCCAACCTCACCCTCGGGAACCTTGACGTCGTCCTTGGTGTTACCGGCCTCGTCCATCAGGGAAAGGAAGTCGTCGTCAGTAACGTCAAGCTATAACCGTGTTAGCGTGTCAAGTTCATCAAGACCGTACATGTTCCGAACTACTCACGAGCTGGTATTCCTTGCGGTAGACGTTGGGGACATCCATGTTGTGGGTGGAGGGGGACAGATCCTCAAGCTTCTTCTGGGTGAAGATATCGATGGCAACGATGTGGACCTTGGCGTGACCGTGCTTGCCAGTCTTGGAGGTGGACATCTCAACGATCTTGCAGGGGCGGCCCTTGATGACAACGTGACCGTTCTTGCGCAGAGCAGAGCACTGCATGGGGTAGGTGGCCGAGGCGCCGGCATCGGCGGACTCGAAGGTCTCGTGCTATTGAGTGTGAATATTAGCAAACTAGCCCATGATCAAGATGATAGAGGATGGTCCAAGAGTGTAGCGAAATATGCAATGTCTGCAGGAACGAGGGGGGTTGGGTGGGGGGCAGCGATCGAGATGCGAGGCCCCGAAAACACCCAACCCAACCGAGCAAGCAGGACGAAGATAGGCCGCAACTGAGTAGACCGGGAAGTTCGCAGAAGGAGAGTTAGCACCTACCTCGTCAGCCATGGTGATGGATTT